ACCTCCTCGTCGGAATGTGCCGACGTTGGTGCGTAAACCTGTATGACCTTCAGCGAATACCGTTTGGTGATTCTGAGTATCAGGTACGCGACCCTCGTCGACACACTCTCAATCTGTACAACGTTGTTGACGAGAGAATTGTGGACGATAAATCCGACACCTCCTTGGGACAGATGGTCGCCCTCCTTCACTTCCCTCTTGTACTTCAATCGGACTTAACTTTTCTTTAGAACAGAGTTTATTCGCTATAATATATAATATAGATAAGTTAATAATTTGAATAGAAATGATTACTCCTACTGATTTATACTGATTTATTTAGCTACCACAAACATTGCTCAATAACAAATTTTCAAAGTTTTAATAATAATAATCATCATCATCATAAACGCACTGCTGAACACAGCCCCCCTCCCCCAAAGAAACTGCATCCATCAACTTCTTGATTGTTTAACGGGTTGTCACTCCATTTAGTGGGGGCCGGTCCCACACTTCGTTTACCGGTATGAGGCTGGCACTCGAAAACCTTTTGTCGGTTCTTCCAGTTATACGTGGTGGGCCCATTTGACCACATCTCAGCTTTTTATCTCATCTTTGGCAAAACACACCAGTTGTACACTTTTTTTAAAAGTTTTAGCGAAACATGACGAAAAGATTTTTCATCTCCCGAGCATTGCTCAGCTTAGATGGATCATTCGATTGATAAACATATAGAGTACTACTTATTCTACTGTTCTACTGTTTCTAACAACATCCAGCATAGGTGTGACATGTGTGGTGATACATAATCCATGTTCATGTTAAGACCTGTCATGTGTACACTATTGAGGTTATTGCGCATAGTGCTGGGGTCCACCAGTGTCTCCTTTATAATCACTTTAGCTGTCGGAAAATCGTGAGTAATGCAGTCGCAATCGATGTTGGTATCCTATCCCTTCCATGTATTTCCGCATCTAAAATACTAGAGTATATAGAAATGTTTTAAAATACAGCCGTGAAGGTTTTCTTCAACGTACAACTCAACAGTTGCATAGGTTTTCTACTCTGATTCTGTACTCTTACGTATCCTTAATGTACAAATACTTTAGCCCTTAGATATAGCACGAGTTAACCTGACACCGCTAAAGGGACACAAGCATCGGCCTAGTAACGATGAAATTAGAGGCTTTCTCATTGTCCACGCACACAACATAAAGTGTCAGTCTACCCTTCGGTCTTCTGACATTATGTTGAAGGGTATGCGAAATGTGCCCTATGGTGATATTATGTATAAAGCATTTTCGGAACCGGCTTGTACGGGAGTTTAAAAGTGGCCAAATCTGCGTGTGTTTGATAACCGGTGTTCAATTTTTATAGCATGTTAATATAAATTCAAAATTATTAAAATCAAAATAACAATAGTAAATGCGAAATCACACATTTTTTTTAGATAAAACATTACCGAGTTTCGTAATTGTCGGAACCGATCCTACCTACTTTGGTTATTGAAAACAGACATAAATTGTCGAAAGTCTAGATTACTTGCATGGATAAACTCAAAACATACATAATATTATATACGTAACCCACAGTATACTAGTACACGTCGAGTTTTATATAATTAATATTTCTGATGAAACCGTCTGCTGTCACGTCAATAGCGTAATAACTAAATTCCATTTCAAAAAGAACTATGCGCAAGCCTTCACATATACAACAAAGAACTTAATGCAATAGCTGTAGATTCCTACGTGATCTTCAACAATTCAAAAATTCAACTTACATCCATCGATATACTTAGAATAAATATTACCTTAGCAGGTAGAAATATATTAGAATAGAACATTTTTTTATTCAATAATTCAATATATAAAAGTAGATTACATATAAGATTCGGAAAATAAAATAAACCTCTGCCTTGAAAAAGTCAGCAAAAAATCTTTCGGGACTTTTATTTAAAGAATGTTTACATAGTTACCCTTCGGCAAGTTGTACAAAAGACCGCAGAGTTCAATTTGCCACTTTGTGATACGTATATGGACTATAGAAATGTCCTCGATTTCGAAACGAGGTTTAAAATCAAAGTTTATTAGCCAGCCATAATCACAACATTCTCACTAAATCTTAACAATAGCCGTTTAATGTGAATGTAACTTCCTTCACTCCGTCATCGGCTGCGGTACTTGAAATCAATCATGAGCGAGGAGTTCATACGCCAATCCTGTCCGACTCAAATACCAATCACTCAATCATTATATTAAACCCTGTGGTGTGAGAGTAACTTTCTTCACAGACACACCATCATCGTCTGCGATGTTTCGAGCCATTCTGGGAGGCGAGTTCGTACGCCAGTCCTGCCCGTTTATGTCTGGCAAGTTCTTATGTCGGTCATCATTCAACACGCTACTTTGGCTTAGTTTCGTAATCGTATTTTAATTATGCCTAACATGTAGCTAAACTAAAATTTAATAAGTGTTCTACTTTTTGTTCAATTTATACATAATTATATATTATGTACATTCACTAACTTTTGAATCAGCGAATTCAGTTAAGACATGAATATACAACTTTATTACACATTTGATAGTTATCAATCGATTCATAGCAGTAATATTTAGTTTCAATTAGTTTTCATTATAATTACTGTAGTTTTACTATCACTATCTTCACTGGAAGAGCAAGCAGAGACGTTGAAAGTCAACCATGGGAATATTTTGTCAATGGTAATAATCGCTATAAATATATTTTCTTGTCAAAGCAATTGGTGAGGGAGAAAGGTTCTCGAGTAGCAGCCGCGTACCTGTGAGCAAAGTGCTCTCCATTAAGTAGGGCGATTTTTGGTTAGACACGCAGAGGAAGTCGATGGATGCAGTACTGTGTTTTGTGGCATTTCTTGAGGGAGGCCTATGTTTAGCAGAACTTGTAAAATGGTAAAGAGCTGTATCTAGCTGCAATCGTGTAAAAATTGATCTAGAAAAACATATGTAATGTTTTTAATAAATAATAAAATATATATGTATTAATACATTTTGCCGTTGTGACTCGGCCGCGAGTTATATAAAATGAGGTCGAGCACGTTCACACAATTCTGTTTTATGAGAGGCACCTCATTACATTTAAAATTCGAAATAGGAAAATCTTGTTTCTAATGTCCGTTTTTCAGTTATGTTGTAATTTAAATAACTGTAGTGGGTACTCCGCCAAAATAGATATTTTTTTTTAAATTTTCAATCCCGCAAGGTCATACTTTAAAAGGCTGAGCTTTTCCTCGTTTTTATTATAATAATTGGACAAATTTTAAACGATGATCTCTAATTGACATCTTAATAAAGGTTTATTCTATATATTGCTCAACGATACCTTTATAATTGATTAGACGAATAATAAAAAAACTCGTGTCCTTTACCGTTAAACTTTCGTTTCGGTTCAAATCTGCGGAATGGCCAAGAAAACGAGTCCTATTTGTTCAACAAAAATAGATGTAGGTATATGTTATGGACCAAGTGAATAGTTGGCTATTAATCATTATGCACAGGCAATATAAATAATACCCAATAGACCACAATGTGATATATAATGAAGGTTACTTCAGTATTTATAACATAGCCCGATTAGACTTGTGATAATTCGTATTGCCCGGGCATTTTTTTATAGGATAGGATGACAAACGAGCACACAATCCATCTGATGCTAAGTGGTTGCTGTGGCTCATACACATCTACATCTATCCTCGATTACGAATCAAAATGCAGAATCAAATGTCATCCGTGAGGACTGCCGTGGAATGAGGACTGAGGACTGAGGTGGAATGCCTCGTTTCCAGTAAAAAAGTTATCCGGTTCTCTACACTAACCATACGAAACACAGCAGCATTAAGATACTATTTGAAGCTGGTATTCTGTGAGAGGTCCTTCCGAGGTCGAGCCGACCCATTCGTGCTACAACTATACTACTAATATAACTGCAGCATTGCTCTACCACGTAAATATAGCCCTAATTAATCACTTGATTCATAAAATATACAATAATATGTGTCTATGGAAAACCGTGTCTGTGATACTTCATAATAATAATAAATTGGTTGTAGTCGTATTTTCTCTTCTCAATCAAGCAAAGATGTTAAATAATTTAACTTTTTTCGGCACCTATTCTCGCTTGTAATATTACTACCCTGGACACCAGTGATATATATTAGGTGGTAATTAATATCACTGGTATCCGTTTCTGCTTGTTTAAGTGTTGATGTATTTGGGCTCCTGTAGTTAACATCATATACATACAAGTACTGATATTCTAGTGTATTCAATTAAAGTAAAACAAATAAAGGTTTCTAAACATTTTATTTGTTTGTTTATATTAATAACAAACATTATTACCACGTTTTTATTATGTCACTTTCTTGTTTGCTGACGTTCCGAGTGGAATTAATAAAATGATTTTAAACTTCCTGATAAGCTGGAAACTTGAAATTTTATATGTAGCTAAAATTCAGATGATAATACAAGAATATAAATAACTTGATAAATAAATAAAAAATTTACTCGTTTTAATATTTTATATTAATTCATATTATTATTGATTGTGTTTATATATACTTATCTTTATTATATACTTAATTTCATGAAAAAATATTATTTACGCACAAAAATTAACTTATTCAATGAATATCAACCCTGCTTAAATATTGCCGTGTTTTTTTTAAAGATTAAATTATTTCTTTTTTCTTTAGGTCTACGATGCTTTGTTTGGGCTCACGGGTGTTGTTATACGAAGAAAATACCTCCCTGACTCCTTTTAGTAGCTCAAAATCTCCCATAAAACATTCCTTATTCCTTGTTCCTCTATAATAATCAATAGAATCTAAAAAACATTCCACAGAATCGAAATACGTGTAAAGCTTTAGGCGCCTTACAATCTCTACAAGAACGATTTCAAAGTAGCAAAGTCGTAGTGAGTTTTGTGAACGCGCGTGAACCTCTTCGGAGGGCGCGAGGGGCCGGCGCGATGCGGTCTCGCCAGGGATGTACGTAATATATCCTGCAGAAGAAGTAGTTTCCCTTACGTACAGCTCGTACTCGCTGCCGCGGCCCAGGCAGCGGCCTACGCTTGACGTATTATTCGGGCCGCCGCCGCACGCGTCGACTAGCGCGAACTCCCAGCCCTCGACCCCCGCCCCGCCCCGGGCTGTGTGCTTCCCCAAAACGGCGCCCCCAGAGCCCGCGGAGCGCGCGCCGGCCTCGCCGACGCCGTCGCTCGAGCGGCCGGCAAAGCTGCGCGAGCGCACCAAAGCAAAACTGCTCAAAAAGCTGGGTCGCCATGATGATAATGAATTTGGTAAAATCATCAGGACCCCTGCACCGGATGAGTTCGAACTACCCGCTCCACTACCGACCCCAGCGTTCTCGAGGAAAAACATTTTTGACAGGGACTTCGACGCTCTTTTTGAAGTAGCAAATACGCCGCAGTTCGGTGCAAATATTCGTGTTACGACTCCAGAACCAGACCACCATTCAGATGCATCGGGAGCGCAGTTTCCTTCGCCTGCGACCTCGTCCCTTAGTTTGCTCCCACCACGGCCGCACTCCGAACCAGCGATTAATCCTTCCCCTGTGCCATCTATCCGCACATCCACGCCTTCGACACCAACACAGCGATCATCGTTTGAAGGTTTTTAAACAATCGTGTGGATTTGAATTTGATTGCGTGAACTAACACAGTTTTATGTGGTGTTATTTGATTTAACTGACTGCTTATTTAATACTAATTGGGGGATCTTTAATTAACCTGAGATGTCCGTTGGTTTATTTAGTTGTTAGAAGATGACTTTTTAATCACATAAATATTTACCATCTGATTGTTTTATTTCAACAGGTTCTAGTTCGAAGCCGAAGAAAAGAAGTTTCTTTCGTAAATTCAGTTCATCAAAGGAGCCAACACCGCCTAAAACAGTTACAATGCAGCAACCACCAGTCGAGATGGCTCTTCGTGAGTTAACTCATCCAGCTCACAATGAACAGTTGAAGAATCAACAGCAAGTCACGTTCAAGTTAGTAAAAACAGGTAAGACTTTTGATTTATTTACTCGTATAAGTAGAAAGTCCGTCGAAAAGCTATGATTTTTTTATTGACGATGTGAAGGGAAAATTATATACACTGCTTTCTATACAATGCTTTAAAATGAAAGTTTATTAAAAAAATTGAATCATTTTGACTAAAATAAAATTTAAATGCTGAATATTTTAATTAACTTGAGATCGAGACCGAGATAAAAACAATGTAAGATTTCAATATGGTGTTAATAATTTTATTGATATAGATATTTTAATTGCGATGAATGAAATATATTAATTACTTCGAGGTAGGGAAATAAAATATGTTATATTTTTCAAGTCTACTACCGTTCCGAGCTTTCTCTGAATGGAGAATAAAAGGCAAACTCCTCAGGCAGGTATCCTTTTTAAGTTATTTCTATAGTTAGTATTACAATAACATAATACAACTAATAGAAAACAAAACAATGACTGACCAATCGGTAACTGAAGCATTTTCTACGAAGCACTCAAAAAACATGGCTAAAAATTGGATTTTTATTTATTTTTCGCTTTATATATATATATATATATATATATATATATATATATATATATATATATATATATATATATATATATATATATTATTCGATGCATAACGAAACTGAGCAGACTAGCCTCCACAAACCGCCTCCAAAATTAACACATTCACTGTCGAGTAGCCATCATATGGGTATTTCTATTGTCTTACTATTGTTTAATTTTAATGTATCTGCGAACCGGACAGTATAAGTGTTAAGACATAAAGATATTTAACACTTGCGTCAAAAATATAGACATACAATATTGTACATATTTATGTTAAATATAACATACGGAGACTCGTTATCTGCACAGGTCAGGATTATAGTTATAGTGTACGAGCGTTGCGCAAGCACAGGTGCACTCTCTATTCCCTCACTCTCATTCCGACGGGACGGTGAACTGACACGACCGGAGAGCTGACTAAACTGACTTTACTGAACTACTACGGCTTTACATGCTTTCCGAGGGGGTGAACCACCGCCAACTTCCTGAATCCGGACTAATACTGAGAATTTCTTTTTCGAAAAAGTCAAAAACCGATTTTGACCCGACCCGGAATTCGAATCTACTAGAGATACGATGCTGTCATAATAAAATATTTATTATAAATACCATCTAGAAAATTCGTGAGTAAATCAACTAAATGATTTCTTAACAGGCGATCTATTGCGTGTTAATTTCAGCACGGTAAGCTAAACGAGCGTATGGAATGAAGTACAAAATTAATAGCCAAATTAAGTTCTAGATTGCTTAATAAAAATTTTTGTGTGTGAATAATTTCAGGCGAGAGAGTTTATAGTTATTTGAAAAAATAATTAAATAAATTATTTAAAAAAGTAAGTATCATTTTTCATTACAAGTATTTATAGAATAAGGGTGACAAATGAGCACACAGTCCACGTTATGGTAAGTGGATACCGTGACTCATAGACGTCTACATCTATTCTTGATTTAAAAAAAATGCAGATGTCACCCTTGAGGACTACGGTGGAATGCCTCGATTCCATTAAAAAGGATATCCGGTTCCATACACTCACCATACAAAACACACCAGCTTTATGCTGCCATTTTGCGCTGATATTCTGAGATAGCGTGGTCTTCTCCCGGTCGAGCCGAACAACTCGTGCTGCTACTATAGTATAGTTGCATAATGGCTCTACCACGGTAGTATAGTGACGGGTAACTGTAACTGCGATTAACTGCTAGTTTCCTCTACTCCTTTTCTACCGAGGAGTCTGTCTGAGTAAGTTCTACTCTTACCTATTTCCATCTGTGAGGCATTCCATCTTTTTTTCTTTTTTTTAACGTTACCTCCACACTAGGATTTTCTCCTGTATCGTGGGGTCGGTTTACAAACATAAATATCACAAAGACAAACATCCAGACCCGGAACAATTACTTGCAGGCCATACAAATACTTGTTCTGTGCGGGATTCGAACCCGCGGCCCTTAGCGCTGTAACTCATTGCTAAGTCACTGCGCCACAAAGCCGTCTTAGTCCTCAGGTGTGACGACGCCTCTGTAGCCTTCTTTGTACAGTTCGCTGCAGGAGTCTATAGATTGCAGTAGCCGCTTACCATCAGGTGGACTATAATTTCGTTTATCATTTCGATTTTATATAAAAATAGAATATAAGCAACTTAATAATACCTTGAGCAAAATAATCTTTTAACCATTTCTTTAGCTTGTATGCAAGCGGATACTGGATTGTTAGGCCTAATCAAGTAGACTGTAAGGACTTTTTAATAATAATAATAACTTATTTGACTCTCAATTGACAGGTTACACTAAATTACAAAATTACATTTAAAAATAGTTAGCGTTAACGGCCATTCTATATATACTATATATATAAAAAAATAAAAAATATATATATAAAATTGCCGTTAACGCAACTATTACACCCAGTACAATACAAATACTGTAAAAATTGACAGATTATTTCGCTATATAATACACAAACATTAAAAAGACTGTAAGGAATTATAGTTTGATTCTAAAACCCTTTGTATTAAAACTTCCGTCAACATATTTTAATTCGTATTAACACTGCTTTACCACAAGCATCTTATGAGCGTAATTTCGTATTTTAAAGTAACTTATTTATTTTTAATGTTTATATTATAAACAAAAAATGTTAATATATTAACAATGCACAAAAACTTTTTAAAATTAATTATCAGGTTTTACTTATCTATATAATTAATTAAAAAATCTAAATTAATTGTATAAATTACTATATCATTAGAAATATTGTAAATTATGTATAATTAATTAATAATTTGTTCTGATAAATAATTTCAATAATTATTAATCAGAACAAAGTCCATTGATGCAGTCAATAAATATAATCCCGTTGCCAATCACGCTATTGCACGCATCCTGTTTGAACGACTTAATTGAAATCTGACCGCAAAACCACAACACATCAGAAATTACGATTTTGCAAAATGTAACGACGATATATTCAATTTTCATGCTTTGAAAGTTATACATATAATCGTATGTACTGTTTAAAATATAAGATATCGTCTTAAAAAGTGTTAGTTATGTGTTCCAATATATATTTACTTGATAATATTACTAGTAGTCGCCTAGTGGTCAACATTCGACCTCAATTCACAAAATTTTTGGGTTCGTATATTTAGCAAGCTGTATTTGCACTTTCAACTGCATACACACATCGCGACAGCCGATGGGGACAAAAAGTTCTCGAGAGCATCGTACCGTTAAACGAAGGTACGGCGGGCCCCAAATGGATTAGCTTGACGACTTGATGATACATGCAGTAAATCAATGGGTGCAGATGCAAGTTCAGCAGTCAACGATATTAAAAAGAAAAAATAAGCAAAGCGGTCTAGTTGCGACCCGAAAGGTCCACACGACTAACTTCCCAGTAGAAAGAATAAAAAAATATCATATGTTTTATACAAGTTTTCATTCGGCATAAAAAATGACTTGACCAATTTTGCTCAAAAATGAGATCTAAGTTACATAATTATTAATTATGCGTTAAATGAAACTGGTCCCATGTCTATAACACTCTTTGTTCTCGAGATACACGAGGCGAAAATTGAATCCGAACATACATACATACGTACATGTGTACACACGGACATCCTCTTAAAAACCATACTATTCGACTCTAAAGACCTTGAAACGTGGAGATATGTTAAAATTTACAATTTGCAAAATCGGACCCATTATAGTAACTTCCCACTGGGAAGTTAATAAAGTACCTATTAGCGCCGTAAGAAAATAAAATACATCATCCCATTTCGTCCCATAGTTGTCATAATACGGGGTGATTTTGCAATAACCGGCAAAATTTGCAGAGAAGGTTTATAAGTAATATAGGCAAAAGGTGAAGAAAAATTAATAAAAAAGATCTCAAACATTCAGTTTTTTATCTTTTAAATTCAAAATTTATGGTAACCCACGGTAACTGATTATACTGCGCACGCAAAAATGTGTGATAACGCTACGATATAATTTTACTATGCACGCACACATTCGTAAGGGTCGTTCGGTAGGCAAAAGCGTTGTCGTCCGTAAATCACATACAATTTGAGGTAATTTCAAACAAAAGTAGAAAAAATAAACCCATAAGAATATTTAAAAAGAATCTTGCTTCTTTACTATTGGAGAGGTGCTATTACTCAATATCGGACTTTTTAAATGATACCCATACTTAAATAAAGTTAAGTTAATTAATTGTTTGTATTATGCTATTTGTTTAATAATACAATACTTTGAATTATGATAATGTAATAACTATTCATACTCATAATTATCATATTAAATCTATTTATAATTAATTACTAGTGTTGTTAAGAAATAAATTTTAATTTAATATTTGCATGCCAAAATGGTAGAATGTACGGATCTTTTAGGTACTCAAAACAACTACTAAAACTAAACATCTTATTGTAAATACCTACATTCAAGGCAAATAAATAATAATTATTATTATTATTAAGCCTTATTTGCTCGTTTTTTCAAAAACTGCAATAACGGTATATCATTATTATTTATAAATTTGAACTTAAATTTAGCTACTCTTTGAAAAATAACCCTGTATATTAACCATATCGTTTTCTTCATATATAAAATACAAAGACCGGCGATGAACAGCAGCTTCAAAGGTTCATGACGATTGCGGCAAATCCTTCGTAGAAGAGACTTACATCCAGCAGTGGACATTTATTAACCGATAAAAGAAAAAGAAAAAGAACAAAAAATATTTTCCTCAATGAAATATACATATTATACATATGTAAAAAATACATTGAATAACAATTTTTATACGTGATAGAGCCATACTGCTATATTAGTAGTATTGCTGTAGCACGAATGGATCGGCTGAACCGGGAAAGAACCACGCTCTCATAGAATATCAGCGTAAAATAGCAGCCATATCTGCTGTGGTTCATATGATGAGCG